GCATGGCCCGACTCCCCACGGCCCCCCCAGCCCGGCCCGGCCCGGCCCCCAGCGGCCGCCCCCTCCCGCCCCTCGCAGCCGTCGGGCCGCCCGCTCCCTCACCCGGCTGCCTGCGGCATCACTAGGAGTGGTGCTAGTAGGAATAATAATAACAATAATAACAACAATAATACTAATTACGCTTCTTTTTACTTGTAGTTTATTTTTCCTGCTGCGTCTCCCGGGCGAGCGGGACCCCCGTGCCCGCAGCCGTGGCGGAGCTGCCCCGGTTCCGCGGTGAAATGCGGGCAGCTCCCGCGGCACCCGGCGGGCACGGCCACCCCCGCTAGGGCAGGGACACCCCCCTCCCGCACTGCACAGCACCCAGCTTAATTCCTGTCGAAATCAAGTCCTTGACAAATAACTTCAGCCCTTTTCTTGGTTATAAAGCTGGCTCCCTTTTAAACGCCAGCAGCAGTGTTTGAGGCTGCAAGTTCTTGCAGTGGTGAATTTCCCAGGCCGGGCTGTACGGGAGGTAAAGGATTTCCCTTCATTGTTCTGAAATTCCCCTTCATAATTTCATGCTTCTAGTTCTGGGAGTGAGCACGCCGCAGAGCAGTGGGTTGGGCTTTGCCGGAGCTGCCGGCACCCCGATGCGCCAGGTTTGGGGTCCCCCTGAGCTCTCCCTCTCCAGGGAACGCAAACACGTCCTGGGCGAGCCTCTCCCCTCGAGTCGCTCCCGGGCCCTATGCTTTCCTTTCGAGCAGCTTCACAATCAGATTTAATTTCCACAAGTCAAGCGGAACCCGACCTTCCAAAGGGGAGGGTGACTGGTGACAACTCACCACGTCCAGCCGGCTGCAGCTTCGAACAAACCCTTCTGCTCCACGGCCCCCCACTGCCTGTTTCGCTCTGCACCAAAAGCAGAAGTCGGTGGCTGATGTACAAACTCTCCTGGCAGCCTCTTTCCACCCAAGAGGTGGCACTGATGAGCCCACACCAGCACATTAATGGCCTCGGATTTACCCCGACAAAACTCGCTCTCCACTGCTCCTGGGCTTTTCTCTCCACTTGCGAATGTTTTTTTCCTGCACCTTCCCACACCACTTCACCGTGAAGCACACTCAGAAATCCTCATTCTGGTACTTGAATAATCATAGATGAAAGCCCTGGGAAAGGCCACCTCTGAGGCAAACCTCTGTCAATCAATCTACTCCCTATAGCTTTTGCCATCTTCTTTTTTCAAATTTACCTAAACCCAAGGAACAAGTCAAGCCATGTCAGTTTGGGACATGAAGGACAGACCAATCACGATTATGCCTTAGCCATGCAAGTAAGAACCCCAGTCCTGGCAAATGGAGTGACCTGAGTGACCCAGAAGCCATGGCAGTCACCACCAAGGTGCCTGATCTACCGAGGACATGTTTAGGCTCCTTCATTCTATGTCCAGGTATTTACACATTCTGTATGGAACAGTTGTGCAAAAAACAGCTTCTGTCTTGATAAGACAGAGAGACCAATACACAACTAAAACTCAGGGGAGGAGCTGTGAAGTATTTTGATGCTTTGGGACATGGCACAGGTAGTGCAATGCAGCAGCTCAAACACTTGGGGATATCTTTATACATGAAATGCGAGACTCCATGCGACCGCTTCCTAAGACAGTAAGTAATGTCTACAATAAATATGGTTCTTTAGAAAGTTTTGTTAGTCCCTGGAAAGAAAGCCTTGCCAACCTGCAAATCTGACACTTTCAACCATGCAATACAGGTAAGGCAGCAGGGGCACAGAAACCTCTCTGAGGCCAAGGATACAACCTCAGGGCTGCAGGGGGCAAATTTGCCCCAGCATGAAATGGATGCTCTCCTCTCTAGTTGCTCAAAAGCCTGAGGGCCCTAATACCAAAACTAGATCTCACATCCTTTTCTCTGCCTTTTCCAAGAGATTTCCTTAACATCTAAACCGCACAGCAGCTCCACACTCCTACTGCATCCTTCCAAGCTGTAAATCCAGCAAGCAGGAAGAATAGTATCAAATGCTTTTCCAAAAAGATCTCAATAAATTCTTCCTACTGTTTCACTCAACAGGCCCATCGAGAGCCATAGCAGACACAGGCAAATGCAAAACAAACACTTCTGCAAGAACAACCCGGGTCATATCGAATGGCTCCGTCTCACCATTCCCCTGTGGTGCCCCCATAGCACAGCCCACCATGCAGTGCCACTGGCTGGGAAAGCAGGGAAGGCTGAATTAACTCCTTCTCAATGGGGAGGGCAGGGGGTAGCTGATGTCCTCCCAAAAACTGCCATTAAACCTGCCTGACCTGCTGCATTTCTGAACCAAACAGGGCACTTGTGACCGTGACGGGCGTGACCATGAGGACCGTGTGCCCGAGTGCAGAGCCAGCAGCAGGAAATGCTGGCCAAAGGTCCCCTGCTGCCCTTGGATGAGCCACATCCTGGCAGGGCTTAATATAGGTGGGACAGGAGTGCCATTGCAGCCTCTGAAGCCCATGACAGTGGTGAGGCTGCTGCCTTCACCAGCCCCAGCAAAGGCCCCACAGGTGTGAACCCCTGGCCTGAACCAGTACTCACCATCAGAAAATAACCCCTCTGCTCTCTCCACCATGGTTACATGAGCAGCACAATATTTACAAGCACCTGGAAAGGAAAGGAAAGGAAAAGGAAACACCGATATTCAGGCAGTTTCAGACTTCCCAAATGCATTCTCTTCCCCCACAGGTGTCTGATTTGTCAAGGTTTAGTGCCTATAAATTTAAAACTACTGTGTTTTCCTGCCAACTTATTTTTTATTCCTACCTTCAGGGTTTTCCTAAGGAATATCGCTGCTTTGAAGGAGTCAATTTATGACTGATGTTTTTGAGCACCAGTTGCAACAGCCACATGAAAACAACAGAGAAAAAAGAAAAAAACCTCACTTTGTTGGTTTTATTAAGAAAATGCTGTTTTACAGAGGGTAGTGTGGAAAGCATACCAACCCTGCCACCCATGTGATGAGTCTGACACTCTCCTTGGGGGCTGGGAAAGAATCTTCAGTGCTGGGAGAAGGAAGTGCAGCAGGATGAAGGTGGCTGTGTAGAGCATGAGCACTCAGTGAAGGCTACCAGCACTTGGCTTTCCCCCATGTGGGGCTGGAGTTGTTTATCCCCATAGCACAACCACGTGCTCCACTGCCATATCCCGCTGATGCTGGTTCCGGGGCAGCTCCAGGCTGAGGGCTGCTCTCCTCCCTCCCCCTCCTTGGAAGCACCAACTAATAGGAGATTTAAATGCATGAAATCATGTCTGAGGAGCCAGATGGGCCAGGCAAAGCCTGATGTCCAGTAATGCCACAGCATCCTTCTGGAAGAGGCTGTGACCTCAAACGCCTCTCCAAATTATGTACAAAACACATTTAGCACTTCAATCTGACAGCAAGCGGCACACTCCACACACAGCAAAGGAGTTAAAAACAAACAAACAAACAACCTCATCAACACAGGAAGCCTCTAACAAAGCTAAATATAAAACATGATTGATATTGATTAATTGAAACCTGCCCATCACCTTGTTTTGAGGGAGGAAAAGCACAGTGTGTTTTTATTTCACCTTGATTTCCATTTTCCAGATTGAGGGGCTAGAGACATGTGACAAAATTTCCTGAGTTCTACATTGTTTTGGTCTGAAATCACTAAAAACCACAAGAGTCTGTGCAGAAGAATCATCTCTGTAGCACTTTGTGAGGATTACAGTGACCAGTCCCTTCTCTCAGGTTCCATGGGAGCCTTTCACGGCACAGCCAATGTCATGAAACTCCTGCAGCTCCCTTGAAACTCATCCCAGATATGTCAAAAACTTGGACCAGGCTCATAAACCTCAGACAAGTTTTAAGCTGATGATGAATTAAGGTACAAAGTGAGTATTTTCTCCTCCTGGAATTTGTTATTAAAAGCCCTGAGTTTCCAAGGTGGACAAATAGTTCCTAACTGAGTAATTAATTACCTTTGCATCTCCTCTTGATGCCACAAGCCATCCATTAATGGATACCAATCATCCAAAAGGCACTTAATAAGTGACCATTTTTCTTGACATCTTGGGGGTGGTGGTATTTTATTGATTTGTTTTAACAAGAACTGCTTGCCTCGTACCTCCACTGGAAGCAGCTTATTCCAGAGATTTGACATTTGGAGGTCAGGATGGATACAGGTCTTGTGACCTCTCGTCATCCCTCACAGAAAAATGCACAACGTGAAATGATGTCGCATTTTGAATCCTGTCACTGGAAAAAAAAATCCCTTGTTTTCTGGGGGGGAAAAAAATACATCAGCTATCCAAATCTAGCTGGGAAGAAGCACTTCTAAATTTCTTATTTATTTCTTTTAGGACCTTTTTCAGACAGCTCTGGTTTGGAGCACACCCAGACATTCTGGAGCTGAGCTAAGTGCTTCAGAGCAGTGCCCTTAAATCTGGAAAGAAGCCCCCAGTGACATCTAGGAGGGACAGTTGGATCCAATAAAGTTACAGGCGTGCTCCTCTATCACTAAGTTTCTGGGAGTACCCACAGCTCTGTTTGTTCTTGCACAAGGAGGGCAAATCCCAGATATTGGGGGATATGAGCATGAAAATCATGTGAGAAAAGCCACGAAGAGCAGAAGAGAGAGAGGAAAGGAGCCTCTCCTGTGCTGTACTGGCTTTAAAGTGATTTATTTTTAGCCTGCAATTTGCTGCTAGAGCCTCTCATCCGTAGCTTTTAAGGCTGTTACTGCTGAGGTCTTACCTTGTCTTAGGTTTAAGGGATGCTGTGCCAAATCTGGGTTGCAGCAAGACACCACTGCAGAACATAACAAGTGCATTATATTCCACTTTCATACAGAGCTAACAAATTTATAGGTTGTCTATAAAATCTCCTCTTTTATCCCTGTACTTACCTTCTCTAAAATTCACCAGACAAGGGCAATAATTCAAATAACCTCCATTTCCCACTTAACCTAAATGTTAATCCTAGGCTGGCTCCTGTGCTTCAGCAAATCTCTTGTGACCTTGCAGGTGTAGGTATGATGATGTTTAAGAAACTCTACCTGTTGGAATCTAAATCAGAGGTACATGGGTGAGAGCAGACCACCTCACAAGGTACAGAGAGCCCCCTGTGCCTTAATTCAGCCATGCACATAAGCATCATTCCATATTCTGTCACCCTTCTTTGCTGCTTCAACGCTGTGGTCACAAACATCTGCTGTGAAGAAGTGGCCATGGCAGGTGTGTGGTGTTTGGCCACCATACACAGCAATAACCACGCAAGGAAACTCAAAGCTGATCAAGAGAAACCAAAAGGAGAGAAAAAAAGGACAAGTTTGAGCTAAGATATGGATTTAATGAGCTAGATTCTCCCTGTGCAGATTCCTAATGGGACACAGATCCAGGTAGATGACAATTTATACCAACTGAGAAACTGCCTCTTAATGCCAAAATCACAACAAAACCTTGCTTTTCTTCTGCCCATTCTTAGTCCTGACTATTTGTGCTGGAAGTTTTTTGAGGCAGAAAATTCCAGTTTCTGGACCCACTTAGTGCTAAGGGATCATAAATGCAGCATGAGCTTCCAGGCAGTACTGCAAGGCAAGTAATAAAATATTTATCCTCAACTGCCTTCTCCACTTGTATTCTCTGCAAAGGAAACCATCAAAAGTAGAGCCAGCAATTTACAGCTGGAGTCTTCAAAAGACCATGTGCCATATCCACATCTCTCTCAAAAACAAATGCTTTCACACCTTGACCCATAGCAGAATATATTCATTTCTTGCATAATAATAACAAAAATAATAATGATAATAATGATGATAATGATGAGAATTATAATGATAATGATGATGATGATGATGATAATAATAATAATATCTCATTTCAAACCAAAAGGAAAATTATTATAGATTATAAAAATGCTCACATGGCTTAAAAAAAACAGTAAGGCCTTTCCATAATTACAGTAGCCAAGTTGAAACCTTGATACACAACAAGGCATCTGATGCTCAGAGCAGGGTCCCAAACCCACCTTCAGGGAACCTGATGCTTCATGAAAGCCCCAGCATGTGGAGGCACAGCTTGGCTCTCAGGGGAGGAAAGCAGCACATTACCACTCACAGGAGCAATCCCCACCCACATTTCTTCCCTTCAGCCACTAAATGTGAAGATGATAAATTCCTGCCCACCTAATTTCACCCATTTATTTTAAAGTGCTACCAAAGCCACAACCATTTTTGACATGACACCATGATCTTTAGCTGTACTACAGCTTGTTTTCTGTCTTTCCTGCGGGAAAAGTTTCCTTGATGTGCCAAGCCCTGCATTCCTGTAGTGTCTGTACCCATGGGGTCTCCAATGCTCCCCAGAGGGCAGACTCGTGGTGCTAAAACAAGGCTTCCTGCCACTCAGCATTACCTACACCAGAGCTAATGCTGCAGGGATGGTCAGCACATCCCTTTCCAAGCACTGCCCAGGAAGGTTGTTGTACTCTTAGCTTGTAACGGAGCAAGGAAATCAGCCTTGTGCAATGCATTTCTCCCTGCAGCTACAAGGGAAGGACCAGGTGCCTGTGCTTACCAGGTGATGGAAGGAGCTGCTTCCTGCTGTGGTGGTGGAAGTGTCAGTGAAGAAGGTGGTAGAGTTTCACCAGCAGCAGCACGTGGAGCCCAAAGACCAGAAACCTCTGGAGCAGTGTGCTCTGCAGAGGATTTCCTCCACTGCCAGGTCTCAAGAGCAGCAGTAGCCATCCGGTGCTGATGCTAGACCAAGGGGGACCAAGGGCCCATCACATCCCAGTTTCGGGGACAAGCAGGGGCCACAGTGTTGAAGAGGCAATCACTCTCCACCAAAGCATCTGGTTTCAACCAGTGCAACTCCTCAGCAAGTGAGATACACAGCCAAGGACCTTCCCCACCCTCCCTCTCTCGATCTCCTAATTCATGTCTTATTTTAAGATGGGAAGTAAATTGTTTAGTAGCCAACAAAGGAGCTACCTAGGAATTTCTGTCTATTAGCCTCTTCATGCCATGCTCAGCAGTTTTCTTTTCAAGCTACAGAGAAATGCAGGGCTGAGCAATCCTTGACTCGGGAGGAAAGGGACCCTGCATGTGACCCAACTTTGTGAAATACAAGATTTTACAGTAATGGCATGATGGTTGGGTATGAAACTGTAACACAGCACCAAGCAGCTTGCCAGCAGTGGGGCAGCACCAAGGAATGTTTGAAGTTTGCACAACAAGGGTACTTGCCAAGGTTAAGGATGCCACAAGCACAGGGAGGGTTCTCTGGAGCCACTGGCCCCAGGGAACCTGGGGAAGCTTCAACAGGGACCCAAAATCCACACAGCAGATTCAGATTCTTTGGAAACCAGCAGCAAGAAGCAGGCAGGAAGGAATCCTGGAAAGGTGTGTCCAACACTGAATGACTGATTTGAGGTGGCTTTGAGCTGGTCACACAAACACAACTTCCCTCTTGCCTCTATTGAGATAATTAAGGTTAAAAGCACTTAGTCAAAGACCTGCAACCTTGAAAAGTGAATACTCTTTCTGCAGTGCGCCAAGGTGGCTCTTTTCTCCAGGTCAGCAGAAAGCCTCCTGTGCCTTCCTCTGTGAGAAAACTGAAAGAGCCAAACTGCAGCTGGCCAGACCATGGGATGGGACCCACCACACCCAGTAACACCAGGGCACTTAGCACTGCCAAGTGGAATGGTGCTCAAAGGCATTGAGCATGCCCACAGAAAGGATGGAAAGGAGTTCCTGGTGTCTCAAGCTTTTATTGCACAGAAGGAGAAATAAATAATCCAAAGGCTGAAATTATCAGAGATTAAACAAAGTGAAAGGCAGTGATTTCCCCCTCCTCATAATGTCAGAACGGATGTGTGGTGCTGGGGCTAAACTTATTTTGCTAAAGCAACTCTGAACCATCTGTCCCTTCAGCCAGGAAATGCTCTAAGTGTGCCCAGCTATTTTGTCAGGTCTCAGTTCTCACATCAGAAAGGATGTGGGATATAACTATGAACAGCTTCTAAGACATAATTTCACAGTTTTACAGAAGAGGTCATTATCCCGCATTACTGCATTTAAATGTGCAATTTCAGTTGTGAATATACTTCATAATCTTCTCATACTTGCCACTGATTCTGCCCTATTGTCTAATGTCTTAAAATACTTTCTAAGACCTTGGCAATTGAAATGCTGAGGTAGAAAATTACTGTATTAGAAGCAGGGAAATTCATGCCTAGAGGAGAAGTGAATTGACCTGGAAGGTCGCATCCACCCGTGGCACAGCTGGGATTGGGGCACCAGCTCCTGCTGTCAGCGTCACTGCTCCCAGGCAGAGTGTCCCCAGTCACCCAGAGGACATCTGAAATGGGGTGTTTCAAGCTTTTAGAGCAGCAGCAGTTTTTAGACCTCAATAGGACTTATAATTGAATTCTTTAAAAAGGTTATACTGTCTTCAGTAACTCATCACTTCCCTGGACTAGCCCTTTCATTTCCATTTTTTCCTCTCAGTTTGGGTAAGGTTTGAAGCCCATCAATGTTGTAGTTGGCATAAACAAACAAGCCTCAAATACATCAATAGCTATTCACATCCTTTGTGCGTATATTCAAGTATTTCAAAAGGCACCCATGGCAGCCATTAGCACTTCTAAATGCTTTTTGAAGTAATGGATTGATTTTTTGTGTGTGTGTGTGTCCTTCACTGGAACTGGCTCCCAAATTCCTCTCTGCTGATGAGGGAGGACTGGTGGTAGCGGTCCCGTGAGGCGAAGTCTGCGTTCTCCTCGGTGAGCTGCCTGGTCTCCATGCCAACTGTGGCAAAGGACGGTGTCACCACGATCTGCTCCTTGGGAACTGGCCTTCTCCTGCAAACAGAGAAGCAGAGGTGCCTGCATCACCCCTTGTTTGTTATCCATTACCAGCCGTGCTCTCGGCTGTGCAGACAAGGCAGGGCGATTCCAGAGGAGGCTCAATCCTTCTCGGTGCCCTTTGGAGGCACAGAGCTGACCTGAAAGAATTTATCTTAGAAGGCACACAAAAAACCTACTCCCTTTCCCCAAATAAGCACTGCAAATATATGTTTTCATAACAAATGGGTTTCCTCTTTGGATATTGGCTATGTCAACACTTTCCACGCTGAGCAAGAGAAGAAGGAATAGAAAAACCATTTCTAATGAAAAATATCCCATTTATGGTTTCCTAAGCAATGAAAAAAATACAATAATTTTTGCAACTTTTAAATAAAACAGGAGATTTTCCTACAATCTCTTCATCCCAGAAGCTGATTTTAAGAAAACTTTGTTGGCATTTTTAAATCAAAACTGTAAGACAAATATAGCACTAAGACCTCATCAAGCACCTAAGAGCCTTAGAGGTGTCAAGAACCCTGGGCTGCCTCCAACTCCGTTGCAGCCTAATGGGATTTATTCTTTTTCTCCAATTCATTAAAATATCTTGACGGGATTTCAGGAAAACAGGTCTTAGAAAAAACCTCTAAATTACTTCAATGCAATTTCTTGCAGCACAACGTAGATGGCCTTCAAGATTACCCACCCAACTACCAAGCAGAGCCCAAGGTGTTTGTGGCAGTAAGAGCAGGAGCCCTGGCACTAGTATAAGATGGCCAAGCTGGCTGGCTGAACCACAGATTGCACTCTTTGAGGGGAAAAAATCAGAATAAGTTTCTACCTTGGGCATTCACCATATCTCCCCTCAGCCTTCCCTGGCAGGGTCTTTGCTTATCGATTGCACTGACCAAAGAACCCTGTTCCAGGTCTCAACTGCTCACCTGGCTTGGGCTCATGTCACCAGATTTTGTGCAAGGGGACAGGGAACAATCCCATGCTCTGAATGAGGTAAGCAGAAAACATACATGGTGGTGCTACCCACTCCCTCTGCCCCTTGGGCTGCGCTATGATCTGAGAAGTGCTTGTTAGGCCCTTGACAAACAGCACCTAGGCTCAACTCCTCTTGAGCTTTTCAGAAACACTGTCTGCTCCAGGGAACTAATGCTAACAGCTCCTGGTTTTCAATTAATATCCTTGGAAACTTATTTTTCTTGCATGAGTAACAGCCCAAGTGGAACAACAATTTTGTTACAGAACATTCAAAGAAAGTTACTGACAAAAAGTGTGGCCAAGATGGAAAATTACTATGACCAAAGACAACTCTCTTTCTACACTGTAAGCAGCAGGCCACAGTGAGACCCTTTGAGCTTTCCTGGCCCACAGTGGGCTGAGACCAGCACCTCCCTCTGAGTGGGGTCTCTCAGAGCAGTGAACTCTCAAGTTCACTGTACTTGGAGGACCATCACTAAACACCAATGACAGAACCTGGGCTGATTCCCCCCCTCTCCTCAAGGTTCAACCCTTTACCTGTTGAGAAGATGCAAAGGCATCATCATCCCATAAGAATCTTTTGTTAAATGGTATAAATTAAGTGCAGTTATGTCTAAGACCTATCATGGGGACTTCAGAGAGATCCCTCACCCCTGGCTTCTCTCCCCAACCACCTCTGCTACCAAAAGCATGTGGCCATCTTATAGGAACTGTGGACAGAGACAGGACTGGCAAGACAGACCAATGTGCTTAATTTCCTGGACTTTCATTTATTTTGAAGGAGACAGCAAATTGGCACATATAATGCATGGCAGCTCATGTTGCACAGTCCTTGCTATGGCATTCACTCACCCCAACAAAAAACAAACCCTACAGACTCAGAAACTTAGAGCCCACTGCTCAGAGGCAGAGGTGCTCATAAACTGCTATAGGAAACACAACATAATGGAATTAATAATTAATAGCATCAAATGAGTTCAACAAAATTAGTTAATAACCAACCAGAAAAATCCCTCAAGGTCTTCTGGGAATCAAAACCCCAGACAATGCTACTGCAGTCCCATGCAAACTCAATACTGAATGGTTCCTTTACCAAAGACCTTGTTTATCATATTTGCCCTGAAGTTATTACAGCTTCCCTGCCCCAGATTTCCTCTGTGAAACCTGAACACAGCTGCCATGTGTGCCTGTTCCAGCACTACCAGAAGAATTTGCTTTCGGTGAATGATGGGTGGAAGAGAAGGAGTCTCCAATTTCTCATTTTCAGATTTCCCCGTTCAACCTGAGCCATAAATTTTGAGCACAGACCTTTGGGATAAGATAAAGCTGCAGGCACCAAGATATGGTTATCAGCTGACATTCCTACACACAAAGCAGAGGAGACTCCTGCTTCCCCACATCCACAGCCAGCCATATGCCAGGTTAATGAGAGCAAACAGCTCTTTTTACCATTCAGCAAGAATAACCCTGAGTATGCAAGAAGGGGCAGAAAGACTGCTTAAGGTAATAAGCAAGTCAATTCTTCCAGCCTTCTCTATGCTCATTAGTGGGTCACGGGAGCAACGAGCAGTGTGCTGGTCATTGCCAAGTGACTGGTACCAACCTGCATGAAGTGATCAAAACCGACTTAATCCAGCCAAAGAAACTGAAATTTGCTGCTGCTCCTATGGAGAAAAGGCACAAGAAGTCAGTATGCTGCTAATTCTCTCATAATAGCATTACACCACTGAATTTTTGCATAAAATCTCAAACCAGCACGCTTGTTATTAGCCTGCAGTACCCAAAGATTTTGTGATAGTGAGAACATTCCTGCAGTCTTTCTACATGCTGTGGCTTTTAAACTACTGTCCAGATATGAACCCAAATTTCCCATGGAGAACAAACAGCTTGTTAAACCCCATTAAAGCATGAGCAAAGCACAGACACCCACAACAGTACCTTTCACTCCCTGGACTGCAAAAAAACCACTCCCACCACAGGGATGGGGAGACAGGAGGAACCATTCAGCCAACCTCAGCCAGGGTGGCTGTGGTCTCACCGTTCATTCCCTCTTGTCTGACCCCACGGAGAGCTGGCTCAGCTTATTACACCAGCACTGATTTCTTTTCTGATTTCTCAGGAGAGTTAGTTTCCTGCACTGGGTCCTTGCAGGGGCAAGGAAGTGCCAGAGCTGGAAGCAAAAGCAGCAGGAGAAGTTTATGGTGAGGGACAGGGAGAACCAAGCCCTGTCAGCACCTGCTGGATTTAGCTTGGGCTGCTGGAGAAGAAGAGAGAGAAGGCATGTGTCAACCACAGGGCATTTCTCCTCCCAAGGTCTGGCCCCTAATCCAGGGCATCTCTCAGGCCAGTGTCTCCCAACCTTTCTAGACAGAAGGGCTGTCTGGTCCTTTGAAGAACAAACTCACAGATCATCAGGAGCCTTGTGACTGCAAAATGACATTCCCTCACAGAAAAGTAAAAATCAGGCTGAATTTTGAGCGTTCACTTCTAACATTTTCAATGGCATGCATTGTTTTACTGTATGCATGAGAATGCACGTGCAAAAGAAACCAAGAAAACAACGTCTAATCATGCTGCTGTTTCTCAGATCAGCTTCCAAAACCCTCTGCACACTGACAGAGAAATTTTTATCAAAGTAATTTTTGGTAAATATTTCAAAAGCAGATTACAGAGATATAATACAGTGAGTACACAAAGGCAAAAAATACTCCAACACCTGAAAACATTTTTTATGTTTTGTTTAATATATAGGGGCCATAAACACCTTTGTTAAAATTTATATATATTTCAAAACATACAAATTTGCAACTACTATCCACATTCTCAGCTCTTTTCAACTATCCCCAACAGATACATAGAAAGGAAGTCGCTCAGGAGTAGAAAAAGAACTGAGCAATGTTTGAAAGGTGGTGATTCGTCATTGGTTTCTCATCATTGGCATTTCTGAAATCTAGCACGTACTTACCTACTGTCTAATAATCTTACACCTAAATAAACCCAGGTAGCTATTTCTGCAAATATATTGCAAATGAACTCGGGCTCTTGATTTTTTTCATCCTGGACAAAAAACTGCACATCCAGGCATGCACTCAGCTATGCACCTCACACACCTGTGGATGGATGGATGGATGGATGGATGGATGGACGGATGGATGGATGGATACACTCATGAGCAGCTGAGTATGCCCACACCATGTCCCTTCAGAGACAAAGAGCACTGCAAACCCCTGCAGTGGCCTTGCCAAGGAGCTGTGGGCTCTCATGAGCTGCCTCTGAATGTGCTTCACTGTTTAATTTTGAACTTGTTTAAGCCGATCATGTGCACAGATCTTTCTAATGCCCTCTGCCTAAAAGTATTTTCCCAGATTATGTTCCCAGCATATTCAACGTGTTTAGCTCTGGAATCAAAAGGCTCTCTTGTTCCACAGTTATGAATGCTGAGATTTGATGAGACACTCATCATAATTCTCATTTTCCTTAAACTTCTCTCAGGTGGGTTTAGATAGATTAGGTTTAATAAAACTTCTTTATGGCAGATTTTTCTCATTGCTGGGATACATTTACAAACTGCCATCCCTATCAAATCTTAGTACCTGGTTTTGCCATTTAAAGCACAATATAATAAAGCAATAAGCACCATGTTCAAACTATCAAACCAATGCTAGTTACAGTTAGAATCCAACAGAAAATTAAAGGCTCAGAGAGAAAATGTATTTAAACTAGCAATGAAACAAATTGTCATCGTTCACTGTGTCACCTGCATATTAAACACAAGAGTCTCAATTCCTAATTAAGTTAAATTAAAGTTTAATGAATTTTTAAGCAGGTTTAATAATACAGGAAAAAAAAAAAACTCACCAAGAGGGAGCCCTGGGCTCACTTGGCCAATGTAGAAATACAGAATAACTGCTGCTCCCAGGCTGACAAGGGTGTAGATCCACTGAATGACAAACATTATGATGAGGGACACGATTGCCTGTTGGAAAGACATGGTTTGGGGTTATCCCAGGGTCTGGGAGGTAAGACCATGTTGAGAGTCAAAGCCGAGGTTTCCACATTACAGGGAGCCTTGTTTGGTCTCACTCTTAAGAGGAGGGAGAGCACAGGTTTACAGTGTCACCTTCAGCAGCATGGAGTAGCTCCAGTGAGCTTCCCTGAGTCCCAGAGGCAGGGTGGGTCTATGCCTGGGCTTCTCCAAGAGAAGTATCCAGAGGCTCAGCAGCTCAGGAGGAGATTTGGCTCAAGCTGCATACAAACAGGGGCAGAGGTAGCATCTCCATGGGGGATGTTTGCAACTGCAAGGGGCAGCACACAAAGAGCTACAATGGTCCCAGCTGACACAATCAGTGAAGCTCCAAGAGAGGAGAGAGGGGAGAGTAGTCAGGATGAATAAACACGTCTGATTTTTGCTCAGGGTTTTATTTTGCACTGTCAATCCCATCCCAGCTTTGTTGCAACCTCCTCCCAGGCCTGATTATTGACAGGAAACAAAGTTTGCTTTAATGAGCACACCCATCATCTCCATAAGCAAATTCCCCTGCAAAGGCAGAGAGCTGATGGCTTTGCCAGGACATGCACTTGGGAGCCACGTTAGATATGATCCCAGAGATGGCATCAGCACACAACCCCCTAAAGATGTCATCCTAAAGAGGGGCCACAACTCCCACCCCACCCCACCCCTGGTGCTGCAGCCCAGTGGGACCCCTCACCAGGAGCTGGCTGTTGACAGCAGCAACAATGAATTTGAAAAGTAGGTGTCAAAACTCCATCTGAGTATTAAACTAATGAGCTTTAGTAGGTTATTTGAGTGGGTTTGTTACATTTTATGCACAGCTATGAAATCCTCATCCATGCAGCAAAGCCATATGGCTCATTCATTATGTATATCTGACCCTTTCTCTGTCATCTGCCCAATAATCCATCTTCCCAAGATGAATTTAAGTGTCTTAAACTTCTCAGCAGCTTGAGGCAGAAGCTATTCAAAAGTTATTTAAAGTAATATGGTGTAGGAATGCTCTCCTTTCCTCCCTCAAAAGATGGACTTTCATAGCCAGGCAGCTGGTATCAGGCAGTCAGCACTAATGAAACCCCACCCCAAGCTTGCAGAATCTGGCCCATTAATAAAAGCAACACAGCTCTGAAGATGATGTCTCACTCCATCACACAGCAAGAAAAAGCAGATTGGCACACAGTGAAAAGAGGGACAGTGATTTTTTTTTTCCCCATGTAGCCATGCATCTTTAAAGTCCTAAGACTCCAGACTTTGAATTTGTACTTTTGAGTTGGGTTGGAGCTTGTTTGTTTGTTTGGGGATTTTCCTGTTGTTATTTAATTTAAGATGCCATTGGGCTTTCCCTGAATTTGAACTGCTGGATGCATGGGACCTTGAGTATTTTGTTCAGGTGACCTGGAATACAAGAATCAAAAGCCATCATTTAGGGTACTGGAGCATTTACACTGCAGTACATGAGGAATTTCCTATTGTTTTCTACAATCCCAAACCACTGCTCAAAATAAAAGAAAATTACTTACACCAGCAAAGGAAATCCAGTGACTGAAAAATCTGGAATAAAAGGATTCTGGTATTTGCTGAATTCCCAGTTCTGGATTTTGTTGCTTTATAGATGATCCTAGAGAAAAAAAAAAAAATTAGAAAGGAGCTGTAATGTGGGGTTCTTCCCTCTACTTTACATTACCAGATTCCAGGAACCAAAGCAAAAAGTCTAACTGACAGCTGGGTATGACAGAGTTAAACCAAAACCTCTAAAATGAAAACTGAAAAGAAGTGCAAGTAAAAAACCGAAAAGTTACCAGCTCTGCTACCAGGTCCATTAGAAGGCCACATCTGTCTATCTCTGCCTCAGCTTCACAATTTGTGAAATAAGAAAAATAATACTTTCCTCCCTCAGGGGGGTTTAGTAAGCTTAACTGACTAATGCTGATGGAACACTACAGCACTGGGAAGGACAGACTCCATGCACACGTGCTGTATCAAATACTCACATCACCCACAGAACAAATTCCCATCTTCACCTATGGATGTTGAGCTACAGACTCCACCTGTGTTGTGGAGACCACTGCATTTTGATAGCCTGAGCTTTAGAGTCACACAGGTCCAACCATCCTACCTCACACCAGGATGAAGTAAATCCCAAGATACACCTAAACCCTTTTTAATGTACAGCGTTCAGCATGCCTGTGAAGAATTATGAGTATATCGTAAACAGCCCAACACTAAATTTAGTCCTGCCTGCTTTCCTGTGATTAATCTTCTGTAGGAAATTGCATTGGAACTTCTCCTGTGATGCATTGCAATGAACTCTACCCTCACCTGGAATAAATGATATTACTGCCATGAATCAATGAATGACAGCCCCATATAAAGCTCGTTTCATGCCTGCCTTCAGGAAAGCATTGGGAGGACCAAGGTTATAAACAATTTCCTCTGAACATGGAGATGCCCATCTCCTACAGCCCTTACCTTCTCCCCTTGGGCCAGGGAACATCATCACTTCACCAGAGAGCTGTTCTCTCTGCTCCAGCATCCTGGGTATGTGCTGGGCACCCACAGCAGGTGGGGAGCACAGACCTGCATCCCACTGACCACCCTGCTCATCCACCTCCTGCTGCCTCCCATGGGGCTCCATGGCCTCATCGCAGCTGTTCTGAGCCAGGGGAGCATCCCCATGGAGATCCAGGAGAAAGCTGTCTTGTAATGTCTGCTTGGCTGGCTTCTTCGCTTTCTTTCGTTTGACCTTTCGGGTTGAATTCTCAGCTTCTTCTCTTTTGCAAGTACTTGGCTCACTAAGAAATGGTTTAAAAAGCTGGTCCATGTCTTTTTTGAATTCCAGCAAGGTGCCATTTGATCTGCCTTGAATTACCCCATCTGCTGCATGGCTGGGGGGCTTGTTGAAAATTAAAGGCTGGGAAGAGTGAGCAGGTCTAGAAGTTCTCATCTGGATCTCTTCAGGTTTCTGCTGAATGTCGTGGCTCAAGGACAGTGAGAAATAGGAATAGTCCACAGCAATATATGTCAGCATGAAGTTGATGGTGACTATGGGAGCAAGAACATTCACTTGCCCAATGAAGACAAAAGCCATGGTGATGAGACTTGTTAAGCAAATCGCAGCCACTGGAGTCTTGCTGGGGCCCTTCTAGTTCATAAATAAAACAAAATTACATTTAAAATAATAATAATGAACCTTGCTGTGAGGATTCCCCACTTGCTCAGCTGCCATAGGTGGTTACCTGAGTTGTCTGCAGTATCCCCCAGTAATGAAATATATGCATGCATGTGCAAACAGAGGCTCACAGGCCTTTATAAATTAAAGAACAGACTGAAAGCCAAAAGCTGTTGAGCTCCCAGTTCATCCCTAACCCTTATTCAAGCTTTGTCTTTGGTAAATTCATCCACTCTCACTCATATCTCCATGGCAAAACAACGTCATTAAAGCAGCAATAAACCTTCAGAGAGATTTGTGGGGCTTATGGGAAGTCTGGCAATAAAACGCGTTAATTAGAGTAAACCGTTCATCTGTAATTATTCTACAGGACTCTGCCTCAATGCCTACCCAAAAGGCTCCCTCATGCTGCCCTTGGAAAAGCTGAGCCTGAAGCAGTGCCAGCTGCACATCAGCAGCTTCTGGCCCTGCCCTGCCAGGCAGCCGAGCTGAGCCCATGGTCTGCCATGGGATCCCCTCCCTCAACCCAGCCCAGCAGCAGGTGGGAAGCAGCAGCCAGGTGGGCAGGTGAGGAGCATGGGGGTGGCAGGCAGCCCCAGCAATGCCAGTCATGTGTCCCGAGGGCAGGCAGCCAGGAAAAACGTTACCTGCTCCTGTCCTTTGGGACTGGGTGAAGGCAGGGAAAGGAGAAGGAAAAGAGGCACAAAACAAAGGGCACTGGGAGTGGAAATACCTGAGCCTTGGGCTCATGAACTTTAATCCCAGGTCTAACATACCCTTCCTTGGACCAGGCACCATCTTGCTATTTTGCCACCTGACAAGCCTGTGCAAGCTGTGTAAAGACTTGCTTAAAAATATCTTTCAAGGTATCTTACAAAATATCTTAAGTCTCTACTTAACTGCATTTACTTCTTTAATAAACATACAGCTTAAATGGAAACTATTTCTGTTCCCTCCACTCTTATTTATTAATAGAAAATGGGATAAATCCTGGACCATTACATCTTTTCAGAATGAACAAAAATAACACCTCAGGGACAAAGGAACAGATCTCAGAAAGCATCTTCAGTATCAGAAAGATGTACTGATATGGGGAACAGATGGGATGATCTCAGGATGCATCTGGCTTGGATTTAGATCCACAGAAAACATTTGTGTCCTTCCCATCAGCTGGAGTTATGGTGACCACACCACCTTCTTCAACCATGAAAAAGAAGAACTGATGTGGAGTAGACTGGTAAGGACAAATTAAATGTATTTACTCTCCATAAACCAAATCTAAACAATTCCCAAGGTGACGGAGAGAAGGAAGGGGGAACAGTGATCTGCCTTTGATTTCTCACCTCTTTTTGAGCCCTTCCCATCATGGCACTCTGCCTGGAGTTCAGAGCAGAAAATTTGACAGAAAGACAGAAAACTATCAGAGAAGAGTGGGAATCAACTTTGCTAAATCACTGAGAATTTCATGAGGGTTGCCAAATAAAGAACAGCTTGTTCTGGAATCACCTGAAAACTGCCTTCAGGAGCTGAAAGTTTTTGCAGTCATTATTGTTCCTGATTTCCCTATGATTATTAGTATTATTTTTGCTATTATAACTTTTAGTTAAGAAAACTGCTTTGAGAAACATAAAAAAAAACAGAGATAAAATTATTATGCTTACAAAATATTTAAATATTTTTAAACGTTCATAAATATCAACACTGAAAAATATTTTTCTGTATTTTTAAGCCACTCTGAAGGAGCAAAACATCATAAGGCTTTTCCAGACACTCTGTACAAACAGTTAGGTACTGCAGATTATTGAGAGTTATGGAATTATTTTCTTCCTAGTCAGAAAAGGGAAAATCATGTATGGATATATAGCTCAATACTACAGAGTCCTTGGTGACTGGTATCAGTAGTGCATAAAGACTATTCACGAAGCAAGGAAAAAGCTTCTTGTGATATTCCAGTCAAGACTTTGTTTCAATGCATATCTAAAGCTGAGAACACCCCTAACTTAACCTTTCAAATCTATTCTTTGTTTTTATTTAATAGTGTCCTGAAGGCACCTTACATTACAAAGAAGTGTCCCCTTCTCCACTGCACGCAGGCTGAATCCACAGCATCACAGCTGGCCACGTACTCAGCTCTGAGTTACCACAGAGGATAGGAACAGATCAAAGAAAATGTACAGGAAAGAAGAAAGAAAACAGATAAAAGGTAAAGAGACAGTTACCATATATTTCATCAAGTGCTGGGACAAAAGCTTCAGGCTTCTGCCCTGGACAGGAGGGCAGAGGAGAGGAGAGGGAGGTACTTCCTTTGCTCCTGGCCGAGATCAGCACCAGCACAGATAAGGTGTTTGCAAAAATCCCCACAGGCAAAGTTCTATCCTAAGTGCCTGTCCTGCTGGGGACACCTTGAAGAAGTGGGTCAGGGGGAGGGAGGGGACCGATGGCAGCCCAGGAGGGGCTGTGTGTGCTTGGGGGCAGGACAGAGACCCCCGGGCAGGGCACAGAGCTGGCTGAGCCAGATGTTGGGATGGTGAAGCAGAGCTGCTCCTGCACACTGCCAAACCCCGTGGGAGGGCTTGGAACAGAGGCAGTGCACACAGGGGACAGGCAGGGAAAGGACCACAGGCAGCTGGATGCTTGGTTCTTTAAATAAAACCACACATTTCCTGTCTTTTCTGCCTGCACATGGGATACCAGATCCTCTCCTCACATTTCATGCATCCCCATCTCACTCTACAGACACACAGAAATCTTGGCTTCTTAAGCTCAGGTGAAGGTTTGACAGCAATCCTGGAGAAAGGATGACTAACCCCATGTCCAAGGAAGGCGAGCATGGGGATCACATTCTCCTGGGCGATGCACTGCAGGATCCTGGGTGCTCCATACAGTCCTCCCATGCAGGAGGCCAGGGATGAGATGTACAGCCCTAGCAAAAACAAAAAACCCACCAAGGATACCTGGAGGAAGCAGAGAGAATGCAAAGGTCATTATGTTATGCCTTAAAGACACCCAAGCAGTCTTAAATACATGTATTTTAAAAGACTGCAGATATTTTCTAATGTTGTTAAATGAACAGAGCAAGCCCTGGGAAAGCAGCAATTTAATTGGTCTGTGGTATAAAGTACAAGCAATTAATACAGGAAAATTATCCCATAAAAGTAATTTAATACTGAACATCCTGTACCGACAGAACCATTTTACAAGCTCCTATCCAAGAAATTCTTTGTTACTTGGAGCAATTGCAGCAAAGCAGCAGCTATTAGATTCCCCTTAAGTAAATGGAAGTGAGTTTATTTCAGGCGAGATCACTTATATACAGAACACATCATATACAGGAAAAGCTGCCCAAGCTTCCCACCATCCAAAACAGGAAGCAAAACCCCTGTGTCTCAGAGGGGAAAACCAATCCTGAAAGAAAACCCACAGTAAAACCAAATCAAAATTGCCACTTAAGTAAATGGCATCTCAAAAAACATGCTCCAAAGGATATAATACAATGACCTTATTTTCCTGTCTTCAATGAGAAAAGAATTTCCTTTGGCCAACGTGAAGCATTAATAAAAAAATTTTAAAGCCATAGTGCTAACAAGGCTGGTTTTAGAATTGGTTTCTGAAGCACCCTTTCAAGCTGGGAGCATCTCCTGCAGGTGTGGAGTGAAAGGAAGGACAGCTGCTGGTCTGGCACACAGAAGTGAGGACTGGGGTCCCCTAAGCAGGTCCCCACTGCTGAGAGCTGCAAGCACAGACAGCGTATCTAAAAAACCCCACCCAAATACACAAAACCCCACAATATAAACATTGTGCAAGAAAGCTTTGAAATGGGAGTGCTCCTGGCACCGCAGTGTAAGGGCATGGACAGAAAAAATAAGGAAAACAAGGTCTAGGGTCACCTGAGACAACCCCAAGTCCTGCAAGACCACAGAGGTCTGACAGCCAGCAGCCAGGCACAGAGAATGGCAAGGCATGGGGATAACTCCAGCACAAAGCCCAGACAGAGAGAAAAACCCCACATTTTGGTCCAAATCCAACATCTTCATACTCTTTTGAAGAGAGTGCTGGAGGTGCAGACAAATATCTGTGGCAGAGGATGTCACCAAATGCAGGTCCCTTGCATCCCACATGTCCTTTGCTCCCACCCCTCCTTCCTTGGAAAAGAGGGTCTAAATGAACACAGGTCTTCCCAGCTTCTGCCCCCACTGAAGTCAGGTGGCACATGCTTTATTAGGAGGAATGACAAAAATTTACATGGCAAAGATGATAAAGATGATTCAAGCTACATCTGGCTTTTTTTTTTTTTTAATTGTCTACAAAATCTGCAGGCAGCAAAAAGAGATTGGGTAAAAAGCCATAAAAAGCTTGCTGTTGGGGAAGGCATGTGAAATTAATGTCATGATCCAGAACTGTTCAAGCTTCCTACCACAACATTTCCCCATGAAAATCCACTTGGCCTTGCGAATTGTATCTTGTGGGACAGAAGGAACCTGAGGCAAAGATGAGCAGATACCAGCTCTTATTAGACCAAGAGACAGACACTCAGTGGGGAATCCATCCTTCCCTCTCCTCTAATCCTACCCTGCTCTGAGAAATACTCAGAAGAAACAAACAGTTGTGCCAGACATCATATATTATTTTAGCAGCCAAAAATGCTTGCATTTAAATGTGCTACTTGACATTCAAATCAGGGTTAGAGGGGAAGAGTCCCTTTCACCAAGGCTGATGAAAGGTTTTGCTATGCGTTTTGAACATAGAGGGTGTGAATACATTGCAAGGAATTGGCAGTTGGAGCTCATTAGAAGTGAAATTACTGAATCTCATTTTTATGTTTAAAAAGCCAAACAAATATTGTAACAGAGAAAAGCAGCCAAGCACTCACTCACCTGTGATAGAAAGGGAGAGTTTGGAGGAGTAATGGTCTCTCCCCCCTTCCTCTCTCCAAAGTCATTAAAATCTAAAGTATCTTCTAATAATTCAGAGAAGAAACATGAATATTGCACCATTTGTTTGTTCCATATTAGGGGAAAGAAAATTGAATTTGCTTTTTTGGAGGTGGGTGTTTGCTTGTTTGTTGTTTTTTTTTTTTTTTATTTGACATTATTAAATATCTTCTCTTTCATTAGTAGGAGATTTTTCATTTTCCCCCTGAGGGTTCTGAAGTTAAAGCACAGCTTTAACAATCTCTTTCTCTTCAGCAGATTCATTTAAAGCTGATTCTTTTGGTTACTGCACTTTTTGCCCATTAAGTCACTGACATACAAAGAGGTTGCCTTAGAGAAGGCAGGTTCATTCCTTTTTTCCCCGAAACAGAGGTGTTTTTGTTTTTTTTTACTTCAGCAGGAAGTGGCAGAGCCCCACCAATAATTTGAGATTATTTGGGGGGGTGGAAGAAGTTTAGAGCTGCAATTACTTAAGAAACAAAGCCAGAATTTCTAATTGATATCTTAGACTAAAACCATGTTACAGATCAAACTATGTAAACTTCTCAGCTTCAAATGAATCACAAAAAAATTGTGTCAAATACAGCAAACCCATGATTTTGGATAATACTGAATAACAGAAAATTATATCCCATCTTCTATATCCCATCCAAAGAAAGACAATGGCACACACCAAAAATTCTTGCTCTCCTTTCAGAGGCCTGCAGTGGTAAGGTTCATTGTGTGTTACACTACAACCCCTCCCTCGTGTAAATACTCTGTGTGGAATGTCTCGAGTTTAATAATCCTATTGCTCGCCCTGCAATTACAGCCGGCTAGATATGGAAATGTGAGCTTCGCTTGACTTAGTCAAGATAAGCAGGGGGGTTCTTTAGAGGTTTCCATTTGGTCTAAGCTTTCACCAATGAGAAAGGAGACATTGAATAAAATACAGCATTTATCATCAGACCACATTACCATACTTTAGCTCTTAAAACTATTGCTGGGTGATTATGCCAAGATTTGGCATTACGGGATGTGCTGGTGAATGCAAGGCTGTTCAAATCAATTGTTCACTGGGATTTGCAATGGGCAAATCCCCCTGAATTTTAATGAGGGATGTGTTCCCAAATTCCTTAGGCTTTTGGAAAACTCAAGCACTCAGTAAGGCAGATGGCAACCTGAAAGCACCATTATACAAAACCACAAGTTACCTTCTCTGCTATCATGAAGTCATAGCGGAGCGACTGACGGGTACAAATGGCTCCCAGTAAAAAAACGAAGACCATGTACAGAAACCACCTGCAAACAGCAAAAATAAACCCATTTCTTCACAGCAAGACAAGACCATTGTGAATTCTGGCACTAGGAGAGCCAGGAGACAGTCAAATGCCCACAAGTGGGGGTCTGCAGTCACTCTGCATGGTTCCTAAATGATTTAGCTTCAGGGATAAATTTGACACCAATCCTTTTTACTTACCCACAGTGATGTGCCACAGCTGCAGCATGACTGCAGGTACCCCTGAGGGAAGCTCCCTGCATTCCTTAGGTGTGCAGGGGGTAATGGTATCAACTAAAGGAGGGTCAATTCAGATGAGCTGCAAGGAACACATTTTCTACAGTAAGGGAGGTAAAAGATGGCAATACGCTGCCCAAAGAAGTGGTGGATGCCCCATCTCTGGAAACATTCAAGGTCAGGATGGATGAGGCTCTGAGCAACCTGGTCAGGTTGAATGTAGGAATTCCAAGCACAGATAATTCTCAAAATCTTGTGCATGCAATCCCAGACACAGAAATGAATACAAGGTTCAACCTGAGACCTTAGAGACCAGATTTAGAGACAATGGGCAAGAATGTGAGTTCATAGTTTAGATAGAAAGATATTAAGCTAGGTAGTAGAAAGTTTTAAGGTTTTAAACTTAAGATATAGAACTAGATATAAAGGTAATAAGAAGTTTTAAAGTGTAGCAAGTAGTTTTGTGTACCATTATGTGATAGGTTAAGGTAGTCCTCATTGTGGCAAAGACATATAATACAAAATAATTAACAATTGGTGTCAAAATAAAAACATTCTTTTGTAGCAGTAGTTAATCAGCTAATTAACCTTTAAAAGACCTTGTAACTTGTGGTCTTGTGACCACAAATATCTAGCAAACATAGTGAAGACATTCTCACCTTCATGAAACTATAGAAGAAGAAGAATAAATCATGATTTAAGACATCTCCCAGGGGTCCCATCTCTCTAAAAATCCCCAAAGTTGAAGAAGTCTGAGCTCACTGCAGGGGGTTGGACTGGATGGCCTTTAAAGGTCCCTTCCAGCCCAAACCATTCTGTGATTCTGAGGCTCTGCAGGTACACAGGTTCCCCCATAACAGCACAGCCAGCCTGCTCTGCAGCCTCAGCCAGGACCCTCTTCTGGTGTTCTGGCCTCTCCATACTCAGACTGGGGGATAATTTTGTCTGTAAACCCCAGACAGCAGAGAAGGGAATGACCACAGCCTTGGATAGATGGATTCATGTGATACTTCTGTGTCCTGTGGAATCCCCCCTCTTAAAACAAGCACCAATTTCATCAGGAATCCCTCAAAATTGTGAAGAATTTTCGTTCCTGACTGAATATTGGTACACAGTTAAAATAAATAATTTCAAAGGTAATTTAGATGGCAATAAAAGTAGGCAGGAAAACCTACGAGGGCTTTTTTTTTTTTTTAATATGCAGTAGTGGAAAGTTCTCCTGGAAAGCAGCATTTCTTTAGGAAGATCACAACTTGGTGATGCAGGGCCTCTGTTTCCCCTGGCTTGCAGGTGGGTAGGTCATCTCACCTCTCTTGGCCTCATTTTCCCAGTAACAAAAAAATACAAAATTTTGATACTTCTTTTCTATTTATATAGAAAAAAGGGGGGAAAAAAGCAATAACCTCCCCCTGCCTTTGACATCAACAGCAGTGAATGACAAAAACATCCCACTCCCAAGCCTTGGAGAGCTCTGCTTCCCACCCTGGGACAGCCAGGCTGAAGCAGCACAAGCACCCCAGCAGAGATCCCACCCAGCAGTGGAAAGACTGAGCACTAGCAAACATCTCCAGCCCACCCAGAGTATGTGGTGGTAATGGATGACAATTTGAATGAGAGCCACACTTTCATTTTCCAGATGGCTGAGTAATAAAAGGCTGATGGGAATATGAAATAGATTGGTCACACTCGGGGCAGTCTCCAGAGCAAATTTTCCCTAATCAATGACTTACGAGGTGCCGATAGCAGCCAGAGACCCCAGAGGGATGTTGGAAGAAGGCTTCTGAAGATCTCCACTCATGTTGAACCCAGCCATCACACCTGTATTTTGCAGACACACATGCAATTCAGAGTCAATCTAAGTTACAGGATATATAATACACATTGCAGTATGTAATATAATTTGATTGCTCATTGATTGTTTCAGAACAGTAACTATAACAGTAACTATATCAGCTCATTGCGCTGCCACAATGCAAAATGCACAGACAAATACTGGCCCCCATCAATTATTTGGTAAAAAACTGTTCATGTTTTTAACAGAAGCAAGGCACCACTAACATGTCAAAGAAGCCTCTGTCTGGTTTGAACAATGCTGAGGGGAAACCCTCAGTATGTGAACAAAACCCATCTTATCTTTATACAAACCTAACAGGAGACAATGCTGCCCATTGTTGAAAAGAGAAATACCACTGTTCATCAGGGCAGCCCATGCAGCAGGTGGTACAGCCCTCAGACCAGATCCATTGCAGGCATTCACAGGGGACAGCCCCTGCTATGAAACAGACTGTCCTGTCCACATTAAATGATGATCACATTAGCAGAGGGAGTAACAGTGCTCTCGGCACGTAGGTGGCACCTTCCAGCCAAGGGATCTGCTTTGGAAGAAGGCATTATCTCTGCCTCACAGATAGGAAAACAGAAACGCTGAGAGGGCAAGTGATTGTCCCAGTGTCACGTAGAAAACACATGGCAGGACTAAGAATAAAATACTGAACTGTTATTTTAGGCCAGAGTACAGGGTATTATACAATCAGGGACAGTCCTTAGCCTAAAAAATTACCATCTAAAGATGCAAGAGAGGGAAACAGGATGAAGCAGAGGATTAGAGTCTCTACATTAAGACTAGAAAGCCAAGGTACAGATTGGTTAAGGGGCTTTGTCCATAGCAGAAGGAGGAGTCATACCACACTTGTAAAGAAAACAGAGATTCCCTTGTCACATTATGCCACATAAGTCACATAAGTTTTCTTAGAAGACTCCAGGTGTGTGCTATAAATAAAAATAAAAAAAATAAAAATCTGTGGTTTAGAATCCTGATGAGAATTTGGACAACTTGAAGGCAGGACCAAAGACTTCAGGAAGCTAACTTCTGCCCATCACTGTCCCCACCGGGATGTCAGACTAATGTCTTCATAAGGACACGTGGCCAGGAGCCAGCCAGCAGTGCCGATGGCACTGTCCCAGGGGCCAGGGTGAGATCACCTCAGAACAATGGGAAGGAGGATGCCAGCACCATGGCACTCACAGCATCTGGCAGCCCTGGCAGCAGGGGACCGACCACACGCCAGTCCACCACGGCTGCCAAGCCCAGCAGCCGTTCCTCGTGTTCAGAGGGCATAAGAATGACAAAGTCAGTCTCTGTAGCTGCAAATCTGAGTGACTACAGCCCTAAATCAGCAACAGCCCATTGCATTTTAAAGCTCAAATACTGATTGCTGCTTTGGAAGGGTTTTTTCCCAAGATGAAGGATAGACAAGAGCCGTGGGACCAATCTCAGGGTAAAGGGGACAAACCCAAATCAGCCAGATGGATGCCCTCCCTATTCCCTGTTCCCTATTCCCTACAGACCTTGGCCTTTGATGAGCTGTCAGCAATGGCTGTGTTGCTAATCATAGAACACAAACTCTGCTCTGCTCTGTCCCAAGCTTTGCCGTGCATCTTCATGGCACCATCTCCACATCTGCTCAAAGGGAATTGTAACACATCCTCTCCTTGCTGCCCTGCCATGAGGACAGCACATAAATGAGAACAAGGCACTCTCATGCTGCCAAACACATTCAGGGCTTTATTTATTTATTATTAATGTTTTTTCCCTGATCATCACCTTTTTTCCCCCCTTGATCAAGTCCACTCACCAGCCGTCTTTTCCTGTCATCTCCACCATGGAGCCAGAGCCCCGACAGCCATTCCCTGGTCCCCACAGAACCCTGGCTTTCCTCAGCTCCTGGAAGAGCTTTTCCTCCAAATTCAGACCAGATTTGAATCCTTGACACCATACTGAAGGCATTACAAATCGAGTTCTTAATTTTCTCCTGGAAGACTATTTTGTGGATATGCTCCTAAACAGCACAGCTAAAAGTCTGTCAGCTGCTCTGGTTTTCCCTAGATAACACTTCCATGCAGTGTTCAAGCCCTGCTCCTTTCAAACAGCTACACAGCAGGCTTAGCTAGAGGTGAGAAAAGTTAGGAAGGCAGAAGTCCATGGAAATGGTCACAAATATGCTAAATAAAGTCTCTATGAAGCACTCTTTGATGACATGCTACTTTGCAATTCAGAGACAAAGCAGAAAACTCAGAATTCTCTGAATTTTTCTTCTAAAGGGAACAAACTATTGTCAGGAGGACAGCTGTTAATCTCATGTGCTTCTTGGCCAGGTTACTCAAACATCTGGCACCACCTTTAAATCTTCCAGCTTGAGTCACCTCTCCCTCATCCAAAGTCCTGCCTCAGCAAAGCACTGGGGAAACACCAAAATGGCATTTTCTGGACCGAACATAAAGAAGTTGAAGACGTGAGTCATCGGCACAGCGATGACTGCACAGCCCAGGCTGCCTCGTTGCCTCCCTCCCACAGACCCACACACGCTCAGGAGCAGCCAGAGATGACTTCCCAGAGCTCAGATAAAGAGGATCTTGAGACTGATGATTGACCTCCTGCCCAGCAGTGACCAGGGGTCACACCCAGGCCACTGCACGCCACTAGCTTCTGTCAGGGCTCCCAGGAGGTCACCAGAGTTTCATGGGTTCCAGAACCAAAGGTCAAGGCCACCATAGAGGGAACCAACTCAGATATTTTCAGCCACTCCAGCAAAAGCCGTCTCCTCTGTGCTGCAATGATGACTGACATGACCAGTGCAAAGGTATGGACAATCTGGTAGTACAGATGTATGGGCAATGCCAGAGACAGCTCTCCACCACCACCCAAATGTGATTTTCCAGACAGGATGACAGCTGCCAAAGAGCAGCTCTGAGAGGGTCTTTTGCAAGCAGCTGGCTGAGCAACGCACTTTTCAATGAAAGGACAACCTGACTAATTAAAAAAAAAAAAATAACAGCCTAAACTATCTCCACCATTCATAGCCTCAGTTATCCTCTGCCAGAGAACTGATCTGACTTGCAAGAAGCCACAAAAAGCCTTGTCAGAAATTCTGGCTGCTCAACAGAGGAAAAACCCCACACTTGCATCTAAAACTCAGCAACACAGAGAGATGGGGATGTTCCTTCCTTCAGACACAGGCCTATCCCTAGGGAAATGGCCAATCCCTTCTAAGTCAAGCAGTCATATCTGCAGATTGTCCATGGAGAAAATTATCCACCTCTCTGTTTCAATGAGATAGCAGACTGGATTTTCCACACTGGCTATTATCTTAGAGAGCAGCAGATAGTGACAAAGCTTCTGGACAAAGAAGCATGAAAACACAGTCAACCCAGCCAGGAAATTATGGCTGAGACAGTCTGTACATTGCTGCTATTCCCAGTGTAATCTGGTCCTGGGCATCATCCAGGCAGTGGATGTGTGCATGAGGGGACCACCTACGCTGTGTGTCAGACACGGCCATCAGCCCCACCAGCCATGGTCTGTAGCTGCAGATACAATCGCTCCTGCAAACGCCCGGTGCATTTTTCAGTGAACATACTATGAAATATAAAAGGTGGTTTTTTGTCTTTCACCCAGGAGGTGAAGAATGGAAAATCTTAGATAAGGCTTGTAGCTAATTTTTTTAAAGGGCCAACCTCTCCACTGATGTAAGCTGGCACCTCGCCATAGACTTCAATGGAGTTGCGCCAGTTTACATCATCTGATAACTTAGCCCAAAACTTCTAAATCTATTTGCTGTCATTTTGCAAGTGCCAGACATGGTTTATTTCAGAACTGGTTTCTGTGCAGTGATATTTTCCACTAACGCCACTTCAAACGACATTTTACTTTCTTGTATCACAAGACAACACACTTCTTTCATTAGACAGAAAACCTGGGGGATTTAGTAGAAAAATGTTTTTTGCACAAGAGAAGCAGCATTTATCTTAATTTTAAAAATGCACTGATGGCTGTGTGGCTGCTGCTGGGAGCAGGCTGTGGGCAGGCGGCTCCCCAGACTCCCTCCCTCTTGAAAAGTCCTGGCTGGGTGGGTATCCAAGTGTTCACCTATCACAGCACAGCAGCAAAACGTGTGCATTGAGGAGGTATTTACAAACCTGCAGAAGAACAGCTGGTTAATGCACAGCATCTCTATTGGGGCACGTTCACATCTTCCACAGTGTGTATTTCATTTTGAAGCCAGCAAATCCGAGTCTTCCATGCCCGTGCTCTCCCATTTAGGCCAGCTCTAGGTGTATGTTTTGGATCTCTTGGCTACTTCCCTATGGCTAAATGACAAACTTGGGGGAATAAAGCCAGCTTCACTGAACATCCAGCTGAAATGGATTTTTCACAGGTAGCAAACAGACGAGCCTCTGCTTACCAGCACTCAACCGTAAAACTGGAGTAACTTCACTCACATTGCTGGAGTCATACCAATAAAACACAGAGGAACAGAGAAAACAACCTGACCTGGAGCAAAACAATCCAAAGAGAATGCTCGTGGGAGGCAGCATGATGCTACAGGTCTGCAAAAGGCTGGGATGACCATCCTATGCCTGTCAGTAAAACACATCCCAGCTGCGTCTCCTGCCTGTTTGGTCCTGGCAGGGGTCTCCCCACAGGTCCTGCTCCTCCTTGCTGAAGTGGCTGCCCCTCTTTGCTGTTACAGCTACCATCCTGCATTTCAGGCATTTCTGTTTCACTGCTGTGTCTGCTGGAAATGGGCAATTTACAACCACTTTTCAGTATATCCCAGAGACCAAACTTAAGCTGGTTGAATTCAGATAGCCTTCTCAGAGAGAGAGGAAGAAGCCTATCCTGAAGAGATCAAAATAGTTTCACTTCAAAGAGGAACATTTCATCTCAAAAGGCCCAAACAATTTGTTTCACAATTTCCAAAAGATTCTTTTTATAAACTTTGTTATCAAAATAGCATCTTAAATTGTAGGCTAGCATATGCTAAAAATTAAAAATAGTAAACACAACCTCTAATAATTAAAGATAAGCAGAACATTGCTGTGGATCAAAGAACTGTTTCAAACTGGCTCAATGTAACCCCTCAAAACTAAAAAGCATATTGTTTTGCTGAAACTCTCCCCAAATTTCTGTTTTACCTTAAGGCAAAGGATTTTACTTGCAGTGCTTCAGGCAGGTCACTGTGGGAGTTTTAGCAGAAGTGGGTGCCACTGAGGGATGGAGGATCACAGGCTGGAGGGGACAGCCTGGGAGCAGTGCTAAGCTGTCCCTGTCACTCCCCAGTGCCACTTGCTTACCCTCTGCATCACACTGCCTGCCCTGAAGCAGCAGCAGCACTGGCAGCAGAGAAGTCTTGACTCCCATCCTAGAAATTTCTTAATCAGACCACAAGCTCTTCCACTCACAGCAGCAAACACAGCCCTGCATTTTATGAGGCTCCTGAACTTCACAGTGCTCTGAGCAGCAATGACAGGAGTGATAGTGATGTTATATGGTACCACTGGAACTGCTGCTCTGAATGAATAATTTAAATCCTGTAAATAACCAAGCAATTAAAAGGAACACATGAAAAAGCTGTGTTAACAACTGAAGTAATTATACATCATCCCAAACTGTATTTTCAGAGAATGTTTGACATTACTACTGGTATTACTACTCCTAACTTAACAGAGCAACAGGCTGCCAGAGCTTTAAACAAGTTGTATTTATTAGCTTTGGCATTCTTCCTAGCAGCCAAGCATTAGCAGTGACAAAAAATCATTTAATATTGTTAATCACGGTAATTTTCTGCACGGTTTTGTCATAACTGTTCCTTCTTCTATAACCAAGGAACTAGAAAAATCCTGCTTTCCTACACCAGTGGCACAGCTCATGAGGAAGGTCTTTTTCTCTTGGTGACTCACTTGGGCCAATCAGAAATTACTACAAAAAAGAGGGCAGAAGACATCTTCTCCATGGTGCCAATAGTCAGGAAGGTGAATTTTCCAGGAGGAGGTCTACAGAGGAAATAGCCAGCCTGAGAAGGTGGGAGAGAGGATGTCAAAGAAAAATCTGAAGCCCTGCACTAGGTGCACCAGACAAAGTGACTTCTGCTAGCAGACCATTCCTCCAGTTCCATCTGTTTCACAAAACTCTTTCATTTGTCTCCTTGTACCACAGCAATTCTGCAACTTCCAGTGAGTCGCTTACAGCTAATCCTCTGAAAATTCATTCTGTAATCCAAGGATTCATCACTATGGAAACTGCTTATAATCAGTACCTTTTATAGCTTAAAACACTCAGCATCAACAAAAGGTATTGTAACTTCAGATAGTTACTGCATTCCCACTGGAGACTGCTAGCTCTGGAAAGGGGACATGCATCCTCCTGGTAACTTAAGGGAATGAATGAAGGTGTCTAACTAAGCTCATAAATGTAAGCTCTACTGACATACAAGGATGAACCTGTGATGCCACACAGCGAGTGGTGGGTCCATCATGGGCAATGGCATCAGCCCAGCTCAGCCACCTGCTAAGGTAAGGATGGAAAGAAAGTCCTCCTGTGCTCTTCCTACTCTCCCAGTGCAATAAAGTCATAAGGCTCATCTGATACTATAAATCATGATCAGTTCTTTTAAACAGGCTTGATAACTTCTGCCTGACAGCATTGGCCAAGATCAGTGCCTGAGCACTTCCCCTTGGCGGGGAAGGATTTACAGGATCACATCAACCCAAAGAGTTCACCAACAGTTTCTAACCACAGAAGAGCACGTTCAATTGAATGAGACAGGAGTGCAAAAAATTTGAGATGCTGGAGGGAAGCCTGAACATTTGAACTGACCACTTGGGTCTGCTGTGACCAAGTGCAGTCCTGCTCACTTCGCCTTGCAGCCCAGAGGAGCTCCCCTTGCTTCTGCTCATCTCCGAGATGTTCCTGTGGAGAAAAAAAGGGTGAGGATAAAACTTAACTGTACCTGTGGCAGCTGGGAAAAACACTCCAAAAACAGTGAAGAAGGACTCCCCCTGGCTGTAGTCTGGCAGCGTGTTGTTGGACATCAGCTCTTCGGAGTAGCCGACGAAGCCGTGCTCTGTGGAGACACGGAGGAGAGGAGAACCTCAGGAACCGCGGGAGCCCCTCCAGCTGCTCTCAGCGACCTCTCCCCTCTGAACACATGCACCTGCAGGGGCTGCCTCCAAGCACCATCTGAAGGGATGAACTTCAACTTATATGGTGGGGGAGAAGGCAGAAAGCAGGGCTGCCACTCCTGCCCCATCTTTCTAAGGTCACATACAAGTTTTACTTTCCAAACAACTCTTACATAAGACGGGGGAGAGGGGAAAGCAGTGGGTGGGATACCAATGTCATGCACCTGGTTTACTGGCTATGTAATGGAGGATCCTACTCCCTCACTGCACACTTGAAGTTCAAATTCTTCCACAAACCTCAATTTGTTAGGAAGGGTAAAGCCTGACAGCTGGCATGCAAGGCATTAATTAGGAAATATTTTAGATGCTTATAGACAGAAAAGATAACTCATGAAAGCAGGTTAAGGAATTAATGGGTGTGGCTATTAAATAATGATTTCATTTTTAGCAGTTTAATAATTATTTTGTTCATTTAACACTGCTTTTTACTGCAGTATCTTCATCTATGGAAACTTCTCCTCCCTGTCAGTAATCCAAATGCTCATGCCAGCTGGGGGTGGAAGGTGAGCAAAGTTGGTTCCTTTTTTTCTCCTGCCACTACAATCTATTTCCACAAGACATGTGACTCCAATAACTTGAATTTTCTCATTAGCAGGCAGGATGTTGTTCATGGCTGCACAGGGTTATGGCCAGAAATTAATAAAAGCCTCCATCAAAGCTGTCCCATGCCTCAAAGACAACATTAATGATGTTTGGACAGTAGATTAAACCGGAACATTAAATCAGAGCTCTGAGCACAAGACATATCCATTTTAAGTCTCAGAATATAACTAACCACAGAACTTTGAAGTTTTCACAGAAAAACTCTATAGATAATCAAGTTTCCTACTACATCTGCATTCATTGTGTTGCCCAAACATGGATGGAAACACACTGATAGAAGAGGTCTCCTGCTGCTAGGCTTTGTAAAAGCACTAGCTCTCTTCACTAGGAACAAGTCCCAGACGAGATTTACAGGGAACAAGCTCAGCGCAGCACACTGACCTCTGAACCTCACAGATGTGTGCAGAAAGTGCAGTTTCTGGGGAAATAGAGGGGGAATTTGTGTAGGTTGTGTGTTCCTGTAAGTCCAGACCCATGTGGCTTCTACCAGAATTGATGCTCATGACAGCACAGCACATGGCCTGTCTGCAGAGCTCCCACCAAACTGCTCGAGGGAAAAGTTGATCCTTGGCCAAGGGATTTTTCACCAAGTACGTGCTCCTCAAAGAAATTTTAATTTTTCATTTAAGAAGTAAAAAAATACTCATCTCACCCCACAAAGATCTACAGACCTTCTCCAACCATATCTTTGAAGCAGCAGCATCAAAGACATCCATGTCACTTGACAAGTTTGCCCCACTGATTCATAAAAATCTCCTATGAAGCAAACTCTAGCCTCTCTTGATGGTTAACTCTCACATATTCCTGTCATTAAAGTTTTCCTTAATCACAAATTGTCCTTTTGTCACCACTTGTCCAGTTTGTGGAGGTCATCTGAAATCCTGTCCCTCTCTGCCGGGCTGCTGCAAGCTCTTCCCATCTGGGGGTAATCTTCAGTCTGAATCTGCACATTCCCTTTTCCATCATCCAGGAAGTTAAGAAAAATGCCAAATAACATCAAACCAAACCAGACTGTTGCAGAACCTCACCAGGCACAGCACACTGCTTTGTAAGTAAACCCTCTCCAACTGGGGTCTTCCAATGGTGTTTTGGGGCTATATAACTCAAATGAGGCACTTTGGGTGCCTTCTGTTTCTGTCCTCATACAAAAGGCCAAGTGTACAGACCAGTGAACAACCAGACTCATTTTCTGTGGTACCCTTTTGGCCATATTATGGCCACACACTGACCATGAGTCCAATGTCTGACCTGCACCTGTGTGCATCTGACCCCTATCACTCTTAAGAAATTAAATTATCCCCTCATGTTCCATTCATTTGTATGTTGTTCCCTTTATTCCTCTAAGTGGAAATCCTCAGTAGAAGAGACAAAAGCCCAAAGCCATGGCAGATGTCACTGGAACCACAGAAAACAACAGCCGTGGGTTTGTTGAAAGAGCCACAGGATGTGCCAACAACTCTATCCCACTTCTGCTTCCTCCCCTCACAGCTCTGGCAGGTGAGAGGCCATTCCACATTTCCCCTGTATACAGTACCAGGAATCTTCTTGACTAATTAAAGAGAAGTTCATCCAAATGTTAGCTGTCATTGCACCCTCATCTCTCACTCAATCACCCTCCTATGAAGCAAACCTAACATCAGACTGGGATCTGCAGTCACCATCAAGTTAGGGGCTGAGGACAACATGCTGGGAGCATCTCCTGCCTGCCCTCGTGCCTGCGACCAGTGCGAGTCATCTGTGACCTTTCAGCTGTCATATTAATGCAACTAATTGTATTTGAAGGGGCAATTGGGCTGAAAATCATCCAAAACAAAACAGGAATCAGCAGCTGAGACCGATGGGTTAAACCAACAGAGCCCTCAGTCAGTTGTTCACAGAGTCAATTATCCACATCCCATTGAAAGTGCACTTCAAAAGGAAGAGCTTCGGGAGGAGGAGGGAAGGAAATGCAATAGGGTCTATATTTGGCACTCTGATCTTCAAATGAGGCAAGATCACTTTATACATTTTTTCTGTAAGGAGATCTTTTTCTCCAGCTTACTGCTGGGTACAAGATCCAAACCAGATTCCTCCCTCTTTGCTCATTACAAAATATTTGTCTGAAAAAATTTTCTCTCAATCAATTTATGCAACCCCACAGACTCTAAATCCTGCCTTTAATGAACCTGCTCTCAGCTGGCTTGCAGAGGGCTGGAGCTGAAGTGCTATAAACAATCTTCCCTGTGTCATGCTAGAAGAAAAGAATCCGGTTCCTTCTCTGTGCCGTGTCACCCTTATGGGAAATGCACAATAAAGAGCAATAACAATTTATTTTCATCATTAGATACTCAATAAGTAGAAAGCAAATAATGCATTTCTCAAGTGGTTGATCTGATCTAAATAAACAATGGGGGAAAAATTACTTAGAGCAACATCTGAATTATTCCCGTGACTCTTCACAAATCAAGTCCTTCCAGTTGCTCTTACTAAAATAATGTAAAAAACAGTAAAAAGCACCTAGAAAATTTGAAATTGAAGAGCTTTCAGGATGAACATTCTCTGTTCACATTTGCAGGGGGACCACAGGAGGCTGCACACCAGCCTAATGTAGCCAGAGGAGAAGGAGGAAGATGGTCGGTCACAACTCTGATGTCTTTCCAGCCATCACAGATGCCTGGGAGGAGACACCAGCTTTCATCTGGTTGCCACTGCTGCATCCACTCTCTTCCCCAGTGGGTTTGGGCTTTTCTTGTACTTTCTCCCACCTCTCACCCTGTGGAAGAGCATGAAAGCACAAGGCTTTTGGCACTCAGGACTCCCCTTATGAGGGCAGCCCCTCCATGAAGCCCAGGAGGTTCCAGAATGGGAACTCAAGGAGGTTGGAGAAGGGGCTCAAGGAGAAGCTGTGGTTACACAGGGTCAGGCCATTATGCAACAGCACAGAGCACAGCAACGCTGCCAAGTTCCAGGCAACCTGGAGCTCATTACAGATTAGTTAAGTCTTGGCCAAATTCAATAAGCCTGTTCACAAGCTTAAGGTTAAGTAAAGCCTGGCACCGAGGCAGGGGCTAAGTAGTGCAAAACTGGAAAACCACCTTAAGAAACAGCTCCCTGAAGACAGTCCCATATTGCACTCTGCTTGTGATTAGAGATTTTAATTACAAAGGTGAATGCTGAAGGCTTGAAATGGTGAGATTTTTTTTCTTTTCCAAAATAAGTGAGCCCACACATTCCCTCCTGGAAGGTACTTGCTGAGATCTGCTTTCAGAGGAACAGCTGGAAGTGTTTGTCTTGCAGCACATTTCCCAGGTCTGACCTCAGCATTTTCAGGATCCTGTGTGATGTGTAAGACATGGAGTGCCAAAGAATAATTACATATCCTTGCCATAATTATCTCTGCTCTCTATCTTTTTCCCATTTCTTCTTCCACCACTAAGCCCTTCTGGCATAAGTTCTGAAATCCAGTTGTTCTCCTTGGATGCCAGTCCAAACACACACCCAGAACGAGGTCCTGGTGTGGGTGCTGGAGATATCTGGGCACAGCACAGTGGAGAAAACAGGAACGGTCCTCACAGCCTGGTCCCACAGCTGCCATCCTCATCTGAACACACACCTCTGCAGTAAGATAAAGTTTCACTCCTCACCAACCACATGCTTACATTTTCCTCCTCCAAACTCTTAGCCAAGGGCAAGGTATAAGCCCAGAACTTCTGAGCTGTTGACTCCCCCACAGGCAAGTCAAGCCCTGTCAGGCTGGTAACTCTCAGAAGTTGTGGTCTATCAGGTGACTGCTGGGTGTCCTAAACCAAATTAATTCCTAAATAGGTTGGAGTTCTCTACAGCAGGTAAGGAATGAAATTCTCCCCACAAAAGCCTTTGAAATATAAATTCTTCTCCTGACTGCAGAATAAGCTCACCCATAGTCTGGTGATGACCAAATTCCCCCAAAGACATATACTACCCACAGCTTATCAGGTGAGAGCAGCATCTTCACTTGTCAAAGGAAAGTTAGGCATGCCTGGCTTAAATGAAGTAAAATTCTGATGCCAAAGCATCACCAGCAATAGGTTTTTCAGCATCTCAGTGTGCAATTGCAGATACACAGGATTAACCATCCACGTAGGAGCTGTGCATGTGCAGAGATGGGCAAAAGCCATGAATGTTACCAGAATCCCAAGGACTTTATCTTTGTATTTCGCCCCCCGCTCTATACAACCACCAAAATTTAACTTCAGGCAACCAACAGCATAAGATAATTTGATGCAACAGCTCGGAGTGATGATGTGCACCAACACAGCCA